ATTGTATCTAATTTTTAATTTTTAAATATACTATTTTATTATAAATAAATATGAATTTTTACTCTCTGTCTCTCAGAGAATAAATTATAATAGAATTTAATTTTTTTATAAGAAAAAAATTAGTTAATAAATAGATGTACTTTGATGCAATTTGTTATCAGTAGACATTTTCCGAATTGTTACGGGTATATAATTATTGTTATTTAAACGATTATATATATACACACACTCGCAAGTGCATCTCACTTCGCCTTGCGTTATCTTTATCACAGATAGCACAAGATATTTTGTATCCTGTATCAAACACGCATTAAAAATCTCGCTATTTCTTAATCTCGTTGTAAAAAATAAGGTATAGTGTACACACACTTTATGTCGGCTAAATACATTTAATATACTATTACTATCGAACGATGACGAATCTCTGCACTCGATAATATCACGACCAAGAACGATGCTCAATCGAGGCATTAATGGCTGATCTGAAAGAGAATTTGATTTTACTCGACAATCAATATATATTACTCGATACATATACGCGTGTATATTAATTGTAATATACACGATATATACATATATATTATTTCAATATTTCTATTCTCACTCTGTAGTCACGAAATCTTTTCGTTGTCAATTTTCGTAAAAGCTCTTGACTCTAGAGATTATATTTATAGGAACTTTAACAAATAAGCACAATTACAATTTTCACTTTCTTAATACTCTCTTAGACATTAGACGCTTCAATTCTCTCTAGTGTTAAATCCGAAATTTTACGGAATATTTCTTGCTAAATGGTGAGTTGTGTGTTATTCACTATTTACAATTTCACAAAATCGCGCAGTATAACTTAAGAATCTCGTGCAATCTATATTAAACTTCTTTCAATTAAATACTTGAGATATAGTTAAATTATGTATATATACATAATTTGTGAAACAGTAAATTGTTAACTTTAATATTTCAATATAGATTGCATGATACTGCGATTATCGCGCACAAAATTCCTAAACTAACGGACATGATACTAATAAAAAACAATTCTGTATATTCCGCAATCCAAAACTGTTACATTTCGTTTAAAAAATTATACTATCTTACTATATTTATACTATCTACAATAATTCTCTCCGCAGAATTCGTTTCTATTTGCGATCAATTTTTCGAAACTAGTTGTGAAAAAAAGAAATCTTCTTATGGCACATTTGTAGTAACTGAAGTAATGTAATTGCTCGTCTATATAATAAATCCTTTTTATCTTTCCATTAATGTCAGTTGCCTTGCAAAACTCGACTCAACCATTAAATCTTTCGTGATTTATCTCTGAGTGCTACTGTTTTCTCTCTCCCTCATGTATTAACCTTTCATTAAACCAATAGAATCTCTATAAAAATTTTAACAGTCCTTTAACTCACTCTATAGCTATTCCTCTCTTTGCTAATTAAAATATTGTACAATATATGTACGAAAATTGTTCGATAATCTCCTTTAGTCTATATGTGTTCACGAGATATCACGTTACTATAGGTATATATTATACCTATATAATTTTTGCTTTTCTGTTTTCTTTCATTGTTTTTGTCTTCTTTCCCTTTACATAAACCCCCTTAAATATTCACTTTTAGAGCTACATATTCTAGAGCTAATATTATATATTTTAGTTTTTATTTATAAATATTTATATTATATTTTTTTTACGCTTGAAAAAATTTTTATCCTCCAAAAAATAATAAAAAATACACTCATTCGTTCATCTATTATTCTCTACATTATCAAATCTCTATATTATTATATTTGTAATGGTCAAACACTCATAAATAAACACATTTCTCGGTTGTATCTCACATGACCAATCTCACATAAATCTTATATTTTACATATTAATGCCAATTATCGTCAAATCACAACAAAAGATTGTGTTGTCCAAAAATTGATCAATAAATTAGTTTGATATAAATATGAAGAAGAGAGAGATTTTTTTATAGAAAAACTCACATGCATTTTTTTTCTTTCTTTATAACGTACCACGTACCACACTTACATATACATCTGAGTGTTTCAACACTTAAAGATAAAACGCAAGATCCATTCTTGATTAAGAAGGTGTAACTAGGCCATGTGATCTCGTATAAAAAAATTTGAAAATATTCAAATATAATTGTAGCATGACCGCCAATGATCTAGGTAAGCGTAAAAAACTTGCCCGCGTTGCGACCGCGCGTTGGAGAGTTCTTATTGTAAAAATTTATACTACATAAATATATTTTACTCTTGTGTACATTCTGCCGTTTTGTTAAATAAATCACATTCTGACTACGCCAGAAGCAGAAAGCCACCCTCGCGAGTCTTATTTTTTCCCTATACATCGCTCTTACAATTAGTATTAATATTTCATAAAAAAAATATGATATATAAAAAAATCATCCATATTTGAAAGAACTCAGCGTATCGCTGTATTAATTATATTATGTCAGCGTTCGATGAAAATAAATTAATGCAAAATTCATGCATTATATAAATTGTGATATAGCCAAAGTGATGACGCGCTTTTGGTAATACCTTGACCTGCCATAAAAAATCGAGGACCAATATCGTATATCGGAACGAAGCCGACTGGCTACAAAGCAACCATGCGTGCCACGACTGTCAATTCCTGTTGGGCAACTTTATGTCGATGGTTTGTAGAGGCATAGGCGAAAGACAATGGACGTAAGCCGCGAAAGCCAATCAATCGTGGTATATACTCACGCTCTTGCATTGCATGTAAGTATAAAGGGGTTTTGAAATCAAAGGAGGCTTTCAGTCGATCGTCCGGACCGTCTAAAGAAGTCATAAAACGTCCCATCGAAAAATACGCTCCGAACTATGAAGCTCTTAGGATATTGTCTCTTTTGTGTGAGTGTCATATAAGTTATTACTTTCCATCTTTTACACATTCAGAAATATATCATAAAATTAATCCTAATTTTATTCGTAATTTTTTTGCACTTTTTCATGAATATTGATAAAGAATTTTTTATTTATATATAAATATATTGAGGATAGATTTAAAAAAAGATATATATATA